GGAAGGAAGCTGATGGAAGTAGTGGCTGTGTGCTGTGCTGGGGTTGAGCTCCCTTGTTGGTACGGGGGCCTAGAATGCAGAGTTGGTGTGACTAATGTCTACCCATGCTGAGCTCTAATTGCTATAGCACCAGCAACTCCCCAGACTCTTAGAAAAACCCAGATAAGGAATTAAATGTGGGTGGATGCGGCCCTGTCCTTCCTGCTGCTTTTTTTTGTTTTGTTTTCAAGCGATTCTCCTGCCTCAGCCTCCTGAGTAGCTGAGATTACAGGTGCACGCCACCATGCCTGGCTAATTTTTGTATTTTTAGTAGAGATGGGTTTTACCATGTTGGTCAGGCCGGTACCAAACTCCTGATGTCGTGATCTGCCCGCCTCGGCCTCCCAAAGTGCTGGGATGACAGGTGTGAGCCACCGCACTCGGCCTCCTGCTGCTTTTTTTTTATTACATTGGGAGATTAGCTGAGCTCCTAAGTGAGCTCTACCAAGAGCAGCAGCAACCGTTAGTTAGCCAGCACACTATCCATGTGCCCAGCACTTTGCTGCTTATACATTTTACGGGGATTGTCACTTTCACTCCTCACACTGCTCTGTGCAGTAGACATTACCCTTTGTCATGGGCTGAGTTGTGTCCTCTGACCTTGAATTCCTGTGTTGAAGCCCTAACTGCCCCAGTACCTCAGATCATGACTATATTTAGAGATAAGGTCTATATAAATATTGTGACTATATTTAGAGATGAGGTCGTTAGGGTGGGCCCCAATCCAATCTGACTGGTATCCTTATAAGAAAAGGCAGTTTGGACATAGGTACGTAGAGTGAAGACCATGTGAAAGCAGCACCAGAAACAATGATCTATGAATCAGCTAGAGGCCTCAGAAGAACAAGGCCTGCTTATACCTTGGTTTTGGACTTACAGCCTCCAGGATTGTTTAAGCTACCCAGTCTGTGGCAGCCCTAGCAAACTAATGTGCCGTGTGTGTGTGTGTGTGTGTGTGTGTGTGTGTGCGTGTGCACGCCTGTGTGTGTGTGTGTGTGTGTGATGGAGTCTCTGTCGCCCAGGCTGAAGTGCAGTGGCACAATCTCAACTCACTACAACCTCTGCCTCCCAGGTTCAAGCAGTTGTCCCGCTTCAGCCTCCTGAGTAGCTGGGATTACAGGCACCTGCCACTATGCCTGGTTTATTTTTGTATTTTTAGTAGAGATGGGGTTTTGCCATGTTGGCCAGGCTGGTCTTGAACTCCTGACCTCAAGCCATCCACCCCTCTTGGCCTCCCAAAATGCTGGGATTACAGGCGTGAACCACTGTTCCCAGCCCCTTGTTTCATATCTAATGAAACTAAGAATCGGAGAGTATATGAAACTTGCCAGAGTTCTCACAGTAACAGCTAGGTAGAGTTAAGCCCAGGGATTAAATCCAGATGTGTCTGATTCCAGGCAGAGTTAAAGCTAGGGATTAAATCCAGGTGTGTTTGATTCCAAAGCTTGTGCCTATACCTGATGTGTTATATTGAGTCCTGAGTGTGTCTACTTTAAGGCTGCTGCTCCTCACTTTTGAAATAGTGAATGGCACCCAGATCTTTGACTTCTATCTGGTCCATTGTTCTCACAAATATACTATGCTTTCTCTCCTGCCACCACTTTCCTTAGAGGTAAGACACTGGACAAGTACACGAGCACTTCTGGAGAGGAATGGCACAAACAGGTGACTCAGTTAGGGACTTCGTAAATCTGAAAAGATTTGCATGTGTTTGGGACTTTCCTTCCCAGCTTTCTTCTGATGAAGTGAGATAGAGTCAACTTGTTCTTCAAAGTGGTTTGTTACCTGCTTGGAGGTGGAGGTAAGCCTGACAGAAAAACGGGGTGGGTAAGTGTTTAGTATCACACTTGCACTGTTGCTGTCACTAAGAAGTTTGCTGGTTCGTCATGAATCAGGTGTATAAATATTAGAAATACCCAAGTCTCGATCTGACTCCTAGATATTCCACTCTTAAGAAGTCTGGGACAGGATCTGAGCATCCATCATCATCTATTTTTCTTTTGAATCTTCCCTGGTGATTTTGATGTGTTCTATCAAATGGAGAACGCTTCAAGTTGTAGAATGGTTTATTTCTATAGTTGTTCCTTCTAAACCAACTTCAGGTACCTGTTGCTTGTAGTCCAAAGCCGGAATTAATTATCATCCGTGGTCATTAGCAGGTCTGAATGTACGAGTCCAGTAGGTACCAGGTGCTATCCAACGTTTTTGGAATTTGTCTTGCTGAGTTCAGCTTATTTTGTACACTTTGCATTTTCCTCCTCTAGAGGGCTCCAGAGCTAAGCTGAGCAGACTGGCTTGTACCCTCATTAGACAAGGAAACTAGCCAGTAAGATTTGAGCTTTTTATTCGTTGGAGAAACTAATGTTACATTATCTTTTAGAGCTTCCTATTTTTTCTAGTGCTTCCCTCCCACCCCATGCCCACCCCCAGCTCTCAACCTCTATCTGAAGGATACGAAGACTGTTTTCTTGTTGGGGTCACAGTTAGTGATGCTAGAACACAAGGCAGGGAGTGTGGCAAAGATTTCAGGTCTTTAAAAGAGAGATCTCTAAAATTCTTTGTTTATATTTGTCAGTGAGAAGGTTGAATTTACATCTTCAATATATGAATAATTATGTATAAATTATTTACCCATGCAATTTCACTAATGTGGTTTTTTTTTTTTTTTTTTTTTTTTTTTTTTGAGACATTCTTACTCTGTCATCCAGGCTAGAGTGCAGCGGTACGAACTCAGCTCACTGCAACCTCTGCCTCCTGGTTCAAGCAATTCTCCTGCCTCAGCCTCCCTAATGGCTGGGATTACAGGTGTCACCCATCACACCCGGCCACTAATATGACATTTTTTTAAAAGAACGAGCCAAGCCCTTCCTGCCTCCCCTTTCCCAAAAGTTCAATTTTTTTTTTTTCTGTGCTCCAATGAAGATGACTTTGGAAGCCACTGCTTTAGAAAATGCTTTTCATTGATGTGGCAGAGGTTTGGGGGGAAAGAGTTTATAGATGATCTTGAGGTTGTTTGGCTTATAGGTACCTTTCTTTTCTTTTTTCTTTTTCTCTGTCTTCCCTTCCTTCCTTCCTTTCCTTTTTTTCTTTTTTCTTTTCTCTCTTCTCTTCTCTTTTCTTTTCTTTGTACAGGAGCTCACTGTCTCACTGTGTCACCCAGGCTAGAGTACAGTAGTGTGACTGTAGCTCACTTCAGCCTTGATCTCCTTGGGGTCAAGTGATCCTCCCACCTCAGCTACAGCTTCCCAAGTACCCAGGACTACAGGCATGCACCACCAGTAACAGCTAATTTTTTAATTTTTATTTTTCGTAGAGATGGGTTCTCTCTACATTGCCCAGGCTGGTCTTGACCTCCTGGCCTCAAGTGATCCCATTGCCTCGGCCTCCTAAAGTATTGAGATTACAGGCACGAGCGACTATGTCTGGCCTTGCAGATACCCTTTTATTGCAGTTGTCCTCTTGACATTTTAGTAAAGAGTGAATTGTCCAGGGAAAGGCAGAACCCAACAGTCATTAAGAGGGGACTTTATGGCCGGGCGCGGTGGCTCAAGCTTGTAATCCCAGCACTTTGGGAGGCTGAGGCGGGTGGATCACGAGGTCGAGAGATCGAGACCATCCTGGTCAACATGGTGAAACCCCGTCTCTACTAAAAATACAAAAAGTTAGCTGGGCATGGTGGCACGTGCCTGTAATCCCAGCTACTCAGGAGGCTGAGGCAGGAGAATTGCCTGAACCCAGGAGGCGGAGGTTGCGGTGAGCCGAGATTGCGCCATTGCACTCCAGCCTGCCAGCCTGGGTAACAAGAGTGAAACTCCGTCTCAAAAAAAAAAAAAAAAAAAAAGAGGGGACTTTATGTGGATGGCTCACAGGTAGTAAGGAAAGCTTTGGAGGGAGCATTGGAAAGTTCGCAGTAGGTATCTGAAGTGGTAGCATGGGTGCGTTTTGTAACATTCAACTCAGTGAGCACTCAGAAATCAGTTTGGCATTCATACAGACCTAGGGATTTCAATGCAGTGCTGCACATTCATGTTTGAGCCACCAACTTCCTGCAGTAAGGAAAGCAGTTCTTTGAATTGTAAGTGCTACAGGGCCATGAATAACCTTTTTTTTTTTTTTTTTTTTGGAGACAGAGTTTCACTCTTGTTACCCAGGCTGGAGTAGTGCAATGGTGCCATCTCGGCTTACCGCAACCTCCGCCTCCTGGGTTCAGGCAATTCTCCTGCCTCAGCCTCCTGAGTAGCTGGGATTACAGGCACGCGCCACCATGCCCGGCTAATTTTTTTTTGTATTTTAGTAGAGACGGGGTTTCACCATATTGACCAGGATGGTCTCGATCTCTTTTTTTGTTTTTTGTTTTTTTTTTGAGACGGAGTTTCGCCCTTGTTACCCAGGCTGGAGTGCAATGGCGCGATCTCGGCTCACTGCAACCTCCACCTCCTGGGCTCAGGCAATTCTCCTGCCTCAGCCTCCTGAGTAGCTGGGATTACAGGCACGCGCCACCATGCCCAGCTAATTTTTTGCACTTTTAGTAGAGACGGGGTTTCACCATGTTGACCAGGATGGTCTCGATCTCTCGACCTCGTGATCCACCTGCCTCGGCCTCCCAAAGTGCTGGGATTACAGGCTTGAGCCACCGCGCCCGGCGCGGTCTCGATCTCTTGACCTCGTGATCCACCCACCTCGGCCTCCCAAAGTGCTGGGGTTACAGGCTTGAGCCACCGCGCCCGGCCTTTAAAATATAATTTCAACTTTTAGATTCAGAGGATACATGTGCAGGTTTGTGACATGGGTTTATTATGTGGTGCTAAGGTTTGGGATGCAAATGATTCCATCACCCAGGTAATGTAAAGCTCCTTTTAGAATGGTACATGCAGATTTAATTCTGTCCCTGAGAATGTTTCAAGAACGAATTGGAATTGGGAAGTATCTTGCATTTGACTTGTTTTGTTTTTGGCATTTAGGTTTTCCTAGGACGTTAGGACAAGCGGAAGCCCTGGACAAAATCTGTGAAGTGGATCTAGTGATCAGTTTGAATATTCCATTTGAAACACTTAAAGATCGTCTCAGCCGTCGTTGGATTCACCCTCCTAGTGGAAGGGTATATAACCTGGATTTCAATCCACCTCATGTACATGTAAGGACATACAAAGTGCTTTCACAACCTGACAAGAAAAAAAACAATTTCCATTGAAAAGTGGAGAAAAGGATATGAGTAGACCATTCAAAAAAGAACAAATCTACATACCCAAAAAACATTTTTAAAATGTTCAAATTGAGTATTTGAAAAAGAATTACTGTTCTTTCTGATAAAGACTATTTGGTTTATGATAAAGACTATCTGATAAAGACAGATTGAGCTGTCTTTATTATACCGAACTCCAGTTTTGGGTACTAGACAGTATTGCTTGTTATCATCCAAACGTGGAATACATGGCATTGTGTCTTACTAGGTTACTCTTTATGGAAATATTACACTTGAATATACAGAAAATTACTTCAAGGGGCTAAGAATGGCTTCCCAACTCCTGGATGCCATTGTGTCAGTAAAGTCCCAATGAGAATTTCTCACTTGAGTAAAGCACTCATTTTGAAGTCGTCTTTTAAAAATGTAAAAGCTGACCAGGCCTCTTGGCCTGGTAAGTCAGGGCTGTAGTGAGCTGTGATTGTGCCACCGCACTTCAGCCTGGATGACAGAGTAAGACCTAGTCTCCTGCCCCCCTCCAAAAAACATTCTGTAATTCTTTTATTAGATCCCTCTCTTCCTGATATCTATCTGAAAAAGCTATGATAGGGGAAAAAAAGGAGTTCTGCCAATACAGATGGGAACACTGAAATCCAGCACAGATGCTTTACATTTTGGCTTTGTCCAGATCTGCTGATCAAGAGATTCTCATAAAATTTGAAAAGCCTTGCAACTGAGTTGCTTTTCACAGCCTCAGTTTCCCTAAAAGAACATCTTCAATTACCATGCTGCTTTTTGTTTTGTTTTGTTTTGTTTTTGTTTTGTTTTTTGTTTTTTTTGTTTTTGGAGATGGAGTTTCGCTCTTGTTACCCAGGAGGGAGTGTAATGGCGCGATCTCGGCTCACCGCAACCTCCTGGGTTCAGGCAATTCTCCTGCCTCCCCCTCCTGAGTAGCTGGGATTACAGGCATGTGCCACCATGCCCAGCTAATTTTTTGTATTTTTAGTAGAGGCGGAGTTTCACCATGTTTACCAGGATGGTCTTGATCTCTTGATCTCGTGATCCACCCGCCTTGGCCTCCCAAAGTGCTGGGATTACAGGCTTGAGCCGCCACGCCTGGCCCCTGTTTTTGTTTTTGTTTTAAGATGGGGTTTCACCATGTCGGTCAGGCTGGTCTTGAACTACCGACCTCAGGTGATCTGCCCACCTTGACCTCCAAAGTGCTTGGATTACAGGCATGAGCCACCACGCCCAGCTCCCCCCATGCTACTTTTGAAGACCGTAGTGAAAGTGCTAATCTAGACCAACACTACCAACCATGGTGAAGCATCTGTGTTGTCTGGGGTATATACCCTGGGGTTCGTCATCTCTCGCCAGGAACATTTAGGCACGGACACACATGAGAAGTTTAGGAGCGGAGGTTTAATAGGCAGAGGAGAAGGGAAAGAGAAACAGATCGCTCTATAGAGACAGAAGGGAGTCCAAGTGGAAAAGACCAGCTGGTGGTGGATGCTCCGGATTTTATAGTCCATGGTAAGGAGGTCTGATTTACGTAGGGCTCACAGATTGGTTGGATCAGGCATGATGTTTACATAACGCTGGGGAGTGGAGGGGGAAGGCTGGTTGCCCCTGCGCCCCACCCTAATCTTATTATGCAAATGGAATCTCCTTGGCCTACCCCATCTTGTCTGCTCCTTGCTGTACACATGGCTAACAAAAAGAAGGGAAGATGGAGCCGCCATCTGGAACATGTCCGCGGGAGCTCCCAGCTTGCTTGTCTGTGCAGCTGGACTTTACAGGCTGCTGTTTGTTCAAAAATGATTTGGGCTGCTTTTCATTAAAGAGAAAAGCCTTACTGAGGACTCCCATCCCCTTATTATCTGCCTACGTGATTTCTTCAGAACTCCTGTATCCATCAGTGGTGGCCGGGTTCCCTGGGAAGGGGGGATGGTGTGGCTCCACCATCATTCTGCTTTCTGGAAACAGGGTTGTATTTGCTGATGCTCTGAAATTCTGGGAATGACCTTCTGAGCCTTGTGGCTGTAAGTATAATAAAGAAGGCGGCAATAGAGGTACTATACAGCCTTCTCCCATCCCCATCTCTCTTGTCATGTTGGGTTAACAACCATGGAATACACGTGTGATAATTACCTGGCTAACTCATAAATCGTAAGAATAAGTCGTATACCTAAGGCTCTGAGCTGTAATGGGATTTTAGTGCGTTTCAAATGTATAGCCAGTTTCTGATTATCCAATTGAGTTGCCTGCATCTCTCGGTTCTGGCCTACCTTTCATCAGATTTATTTCTTGTGACTATCTCCCCTGGTGAGTAATAATTATAGGTGTGAGAGGCAAAATTCAAAACGTGTCCATTTTGTAATTTCTAAGGAAGTATGGTAGTTCCTGGGGAGATTAAAACAAATTTAAAATCAAGGGTTTTTTTTTAAATTATAGATTTTCAGTTCTTAGAATGTTTGTCCCTGAATGTGAGGGGTATCTGAGTCATTCCTACTTTAATACACCTTTAAATATGTCATTAAAAAATATTTTCATGCCTTCTATTTCCTCTTAATTTTAGTGGTTAAGAGTTTCAACTAAAATAAATGTTATTTATTTTTATGTATTTATTTATTTATTTATTTTATTTATTTTTGAGATGGAGTTTCACTCTTGTTGCCCAACCTGGAATGCAGTGGTGCAATATTGGCTCACTGCAACCTCTGCCTCTCAGGTTCAAGTGATTATCTTGCCTCAGCCTCCTGAGTAGCTGGGATTACAGGCACCCGCCACCATGCCCGGCTAGTTTTTGTATTTTTAGTAGAGTTGGGGTTTCACCATGTTGGCCAGGCTGATCTTGAACTCCTGACCTCAGGTGATCCACCTGCCTCACCCTCCCAAAGTGCTGGGATTACAGGCTGCACCCAGCTAAAAAGTTTTTTTGAGACAGAGTCTCGCTCTGTCACCCAGGGTAGAGTGCAGTGACATGATCTCAGATCACTGAAGCCTCCACCTTCTGAGTTCAAGTAATTCTCCTGCCTCACCCTCCTGAGTAGCTGAGAATACATGCAACTGTCACCACGCCCTGCTAATTTTTGTATTTTTAGTAGAAACGGGACTTTGTCATGTTGGCCAGTCTGGTCTCAAACTCCTGACCTCGAGTGATCCACCCACCTTGGCCTCCCAAAGTGCTAAGATTATAGGCGTGAGCCACTGCACCCCACCAGATGATAAATGTTATTGCATATGATGAGAGTTGGGGGGGAGATTCTTATTTAACCCTATGTATTATGTCAGCTATAACTCTATTATAATGTCCTTCATGAGATTTTTGGGGGTGAATAGAAAGCTAGCAAAATAATTAGACAAATACATTGCAGAAAATCATACACATTTTCAAATCAAATACATAAAACCAGCCAGGTAAGGTGGCTTATGCCTGTAATTCCAGCACTTTGGGAAGCCAAGGCAGGTGGATCACCTCAGGTCAGGAGTTCGAGACCAGCCTGACCAACATGATGAAACCCCGTCTCTACTAAAAAGACAAAAATTAGCTGGGTGTGGTGGTGGGTGCCTGTAACCCCACCTACTCAGGAGGCTGAGGCAGGAGAATCACTTGAATCTGGAAGGTGGACATTGCAGTGACCTGAGATTTTGCCATCATACTCCAGCCTGGGCAACAGAATGAGAATCTGTCTCAAAAGAAAAAAACCATATTAGTCAGAACTATCAGTTAAGGAATATGTTTTGTTTGTTTTACATTGAGAAAGAAGCAATACATAAGAAAAGCTAAAATAAAGGATTTAACAAATCAACACCAGCTTCTCTTTTGAGTAATATACTTTAGATGAGGACACAGTCACGTCAGCTTTTTTCCTTCTGTATGTTCCTACAGTGTATGTCATTATTTGATCCAGTAAAATAACCTGAGTAAGAAATTTCATGGATGCTCCAGAGATGGTACTGAACTGTGTTCTCCAGAGTGAATTGAAAGTACAATTTATCAACCACACTGGAACATATTTCAAAAGATCTGAACTGTTAACAAAGATTTAATGTCAGCTCCCAGGAAATAAGGTTCAGACTCAAACATACTGTCAGGTGTGCTGTTTCTTTTCCTACTACTCTTACAGTTACCACTCTCACCAAGGCCTAATTTATCATGTGGTAGGAGTCAAAGATGAATACATGGTTTTGCACAGAAAAGTTTTTACCCATGAAAGACCAACTGTTGTCTATATTAATCGGTTTCTTTGGTATTTGTAGGGTATTGATGATGTCACTGGTGAACCATTAGTCCAGCAGGAGGATGATAAACCTGAAGCAGTTGCTGCCCGGCTAAGACAGTACAAAGATGTGGCAAAGCCAGTCATTGAATTATACAAGTGAGTGTGCTTCAGTGTTTCATGACAAAGGGCAGACTGGAAAGGCGTGGCGTCTGCTGGGAAGAACACTGGGCTGAGGCGGGGTAGTGTTTCTTTAAGACAGATAAACACTGAGGACCCAAAACCTTCCCAGAAGTCAGATGAAATGCTGGAGTCACACATGAAAGATAAGGTTCAGACTTTTATACTGAAACTGTTAGAACATAAGGACCCGAATCTGATCACTTCTGTCTGTTCTGGATGTAAAACAACGTTGAGATTTATTTTCATTTTCTTAAAATTGTATGTGGCTGAGAGAGTGGTCCCACCTATGTTGACACTCCCACATATAAAAATATCTGGTTTGGATAGAAGATTGGAAGAGACTGCCGGTGTGTCCCTTCTTGAAGTGTCTGTAGGGAGTTTAACAAAGAAAGGCTAAAACTGTAAACCAGAGATTAAAAGTTCAAATGGCTGCAGGGGCTAGGCAGGTACTAGAAAAGAGTCTCAAACATGGTGGGGGATGTGTCAAACGAGACAGTTGAGTGACAGTTGAACGGGACAGGTCTTGGGCTGCTCCAGCCAATTATCACCCCAGGGGCACACAGGCCCGTGATTCCTGTTTTTCAGGAATAGCAGAAATCTGGCTCTCTGTGCTTGTGTAAGGGAGGAATCTCAGTTTTCATATTGGCAACATATTAAAAATGTTTAAATAACATGCAAGTCAAACAAAACTGTGCACTGAGTGCATTCAGAACAGCAGTTTATACTCTTTGCTGCAATTACTTTCTGGCCTTGTAGTCCCCAGAAAATTTAGCAAACCTTTATATCAGAGTTTAATGATTATATTATTATGATACGTCAATCATGTGTTCCATGATTGATTTAAGTAATAAGGGTTTTAGTATTCTAAAGCTTTTCAGTAGTTTCCTTTTGAAAATTAAATATTCGGCCGGGTGCGGTGGCTCACGCCTAAAATTCAAGCACTTTGGGAGGCCTAGGCGGGTGGATCATGAGGTCAAGAGATCAAGACCATCCTGGTCAATATGGTGAAACCCCGTCTCTACTAAAAATACAAAAAATTAGCTGGGCATGGTGGCGCATGCCTGTAATCCCAGCTACTCGGGAGGCTGAGGCAGGAGAATTGCCTGAACCCAGGAGGCGGAGGTTGCGGTGAGCTGAGATCGCGCCATTGCACTCCAGCCTGGGTAACAAGAGCGAAACTCCTCCTCAAAAAAGAAAAAAAAAAAGAAAATTAAATATTGAGGCACATTTGGGATGGCTCCTATAATGCTATTCTTTGATATGTTTTGAAGGGGAGAAAAAGGTGGCATCATGACAAGCATACCAGAATGGCGAAAGCTATGACCTTATTTAGGTACGCCCAGTGAGGGTGTTGATAGGTGTGAAAGGGGCTGTTTTAGCCCTTAGTGCGATATATGACATAGACCCATGAGATGATGCTTGTTTTATATCTAGGATCTTCTTCTGCGCTAATATGTGAAAGAGAAACCAAAAATGCCTTTGTATGTTGGACTTCGTTTTTCAGGAGCCGAGGAGTGCTCCATCAATTTTCTGGGACGGAGACGAACAAAATCTGGCCCTACGTTTACACACTTTTCTCGAACAAGATCACACCTATTCAGTCCAAAGAAGCATATTGACCCTGCCCAGTGGAAGAACCAGGAAGATGTGGTCATTCATTCGTGCGTGTAGTATTGGTGCTGTGTCCAAATTAGAAGCTAGCTGAGGTAGCTTGCAGCATCTTTTCTAGTTGCAGTGGTGAACTGATAGGAACACAGTTGAGTAGAAAGTGTTCACGAAGAGGCCCTCCTCTGCCTTTCAAAAAGAAGGTCACCTACACATGTTTAAGGTGTCTCTGCACGTGTCTCAAGCCCTTCACAAGAAAGCAAGTACAGTGTGGATTTCAAATGGGATGTAACTTCAGCTCCAGCTGATTATTGACAGCTGTGTTGTTGCTGTGGTATCCTTTTTTACACGTGTTGGTGATGGTCTCTGGTTCTCCCCAACCCCTCAAAGGCTGTTGAACCACAGCACCAAAAAGCCTGAGAATGAACACGAAGGGCTCGAGCCCAGGCTTTGTCCTATGATGTGTGGTGTGTGCCCTCCTGGTGACAGTGAAATTGAAGCTGCTTACTCACAGTGGTGGTTTCTCTGGTGTTGAGTGACTGTGTCCACAGTTCATTTTTTCCCAGTAGGAATAACTGTTTTCTGCATCCATACTCCATAGAGGCACTCCTTTTCAGACATCCTGAGATGAAAGAATTTAGCTTCTGTTCTTTTGTTTGACTTTTTTTTTTTAACATCTGTTTTCACTCTTAGGCTATTAAACGAAACAGATTGTTACTGCTCTTTTCCCTCTCAGATTCTTCTAAGAACTGAGAGCGATGGGGCTGTATTGAATCTCTATACACCGGGAACTGAGCTGTGAAGAGGATCTTATTAAACTGCTGGTCTGACTTTCATGGATTAACACTGTTCCTTTCTTTTATTGTGGGGAAAAAAAACACAAAAACTGAAAGTTTTGGGAACCCCCTAAAGTTTTCTGGGAATCTGCAAATAGCATGGGAAATATAAGTATTTAGCTACATAAATGTTATAAGGTCATATCTTATGTATCGAAGTAAAAAGATCATTTGGAATTACTGGACTAACTGAATAGTTAAGGTTTCTATTCAGGACAATAAAATGTATTTTGAAAGTGCTGCTAACTATTGATGCTGACAGTGTTTCACTCCTGTGAGTGACCCAAGCATACTATAAATAGGTGAAAGGAATGGAGCCTGTGGGAGCCTGTGGGGTTGAGCAGAATGTTGTGCTGGCTGCTCCTGGACTGAATATAACAGCTTTACAATTAAAGGAAAACAAATTTTTTTTTTTTTTTTTTTTTTTTTTTTTTTTTTTTTTTTCCTGTTCCAAAGATTCATCCTATGGAGTGGCCATAAAGTCTAGAATTAGATAAGAATATTTTGTCATTCATTATAACATAATGTCAATAAACCATTTGTTAAAGGATTTGCCTTGTTTCCAGACTTGGTGGCCACCTTGAATAATTTTTGCTGTCCTCTGGGAAGGATGATGAAATTTATTCCTGCTGCCTTAAAAATATGTATCCCCTCTTCATGCATCATGACTGTCCCCAGCGAGTGTCCTTTACTATTCCTGGAAGTGACTTCTGTAACTTTTCATACTGGTGAGAAGAAAAGAAGCCTATTTTAGCACTTCGATGGTGTCGAAACACATTACTTACTTTCTGAAGATGCTCCGGTGAATCCCCTGTCAATTCACTGCCATATGTAATCTGTATGATAATCCATCTTCTAGGTACTGGCCAAACTCTTGCCAGCTCCTCTCCCATTGTCACTTCGTGTGAATATTTTTTGGCTACCTTAGTGGAAATATAGACCAGTCTCCTCCCCATCCTCTCAAACATAATGACATTGTTTACTTTTTAGGTTTATGTAGTAAAGATGCCCAGTCAGGTCTATGAATCGTCAGTGCGTTCTATTGACTCTTGAGCACTTTAGAATTTAGAGTTGTAATTGAATGCTAGTTTGTGGAGATGGGGTGCATATCAGATATGGAGGTAAAAGCTCAGGTTTTCTGGGGAACCAGGAATAGAGAAAAATAAGTTTGACATGAGGAAAACTGCACGATTTAGAGTAAGTCTGCCATAGAGAAAATTTCCACAAACTGGGAAATGTAGAGAGTTATTCTATAGAATAATCAAAAGAGGAAAGTCTGTGCTTTTTTGGAAACAGAAGTCTTCCAAATTCTTTCTTCACTTCCCATGTTTAGGTGACCCTCCAGTGTGATCATTGCCTTTGGAGTTTGGGAGAGGTATGGGAAATGGCTGATCTGTTTCCGTACTTCACTCCACCCATCCTTCCCTCCCGCTTCTCCTCCAGCTAAATGGACAATTCTAGCCAACATCGAGTCACTCAGTAAGTCTCAACAGTGAGTGTGTTTGCTGAGATTGTCCAGCAGTTGAGCAGTTTGATCTCACCTCCCTCGCTAGGCAAGACCAAAAAAAGACAAATATCTTTCCCATGATCTTTGAAACATAATGCTTATTTCATGGTCAATGGCCTTTTAAAAAAATCTATTTCTGGTTTTCTTCAACAAACTCACTAGTTTTCTCTTACATGATTTTGTAAAACTTAAGGTTATCTTGAAAATGTTTTGCCAAAAGTAAAATTAAAGGAATATCTTTCCTTGTTTTTTTTTTTTTTTTTTTTTCCTACTGCCACACATGACCATTCCTTCACCATTAAGCAAGGCGAGTGGTTGAAATGGTTTCTGAGGTGCCAACCTGACTTTGCATTCTGTCATTTTACCCAGCTCTTAATTCAGTTTGCTTCCATTATCCTAACAGGCTTTTTACTTAGAACTTGGAAATGCTGCTGTGTTTAATACCCTCCAACACTAATGCAGACTTAAGATAGGTACTGTTTATTGAACACCTACTGAGTAAAATGTGCGGTTTTAAGACCTTTATAAACATCTCATTTAATCTTTCCAGCATCCTATGAAACAGCCATGATTTCATGTTGATAAACAAGACAGGGGTCCCAGGGATGTGAAGCATCTTGCCCAGGCTTCTGCAGCTGATGACCAGTGTAGCCAGGATTCCAGCCCAGGTTTTCCTGACTCCGAAGACTGAACTTGTTCCTGGATGTTATTAATAGCTACTTGTGTCCAAGCAACCAAGGGCCTTGAGTCTGCTCGGTTCTGCTTGTGGCCTCACATCAAGAATAACATAGCTAGTCTAGGTATGGTAGCCATGCCTGTAGTCCCAGTGCTTTGGGAGGCCATGATGGGAAGATTGTCAGAAGTTCAAGACCAGCCTGAGCAATATCACAAGACTCCATCTTTACAGAAAAATTAAAAATTAGCCAGGCCTGGTGGTGTACACTTGTAGTCCTAGTTACTCAGGAGACTGAGGCAGGAGGATTGCTTGATCCTAGGAGTTCGAGGCTGCAGTGAGCTATGATTGCACCTCTGCACCCCAGCCTAGGCGACACAGTGAGACCCTGCTCTCTTTAAAAAAGAAAGTAGCAGAGCTGGAGCTCACCAAAGTGATGTTCACCTTTTTGTGATTTTCCTTTTTTTCTTCTTTTGCTTAAGCAAAGAAAGCTGCTAGAGGGGAGTCTTAGTCTTCCTGCCTAAGACCTCCTTTATGAATAGAATAAAAGGCTGTCAGAGTAGGCTGGGCTCGGGTCCAGGCTAATCTGTGAAGGAAGCAAGCTCCTGTTCCTTATCTACACTTTGGACGTCCACTGGGTCATGCCCCTGAAGTGGTCTTTACCCTTGAGCCATCCCCAGCCATGGTGCCCACACATAGGCTTTCGAGCTCCTTGGAGCTATCCAGAACCCTGCTTACTCTTCTTTCCTGGGATCAGAACAAATCACCCCCTTACTCCTACTCCAAACAAGGTCTTGATGATAAATGAATCCTCAAAGTGCTGGTAGGTAAACAAACGATGGAGCATCGAACACAGGTTAACTCCTGACTTTTGTGCAATTGTTTCTCGATTCCATTACACATTAACATGACTCTGAATGCCAAATCCAAATCTTTGCCCATCGTCTACTTGTCGTGCAACAGTTGAGGCAGTAACCAGGGGAGATTAACTTCCTGTCTTGTCCATCCCCAGGGATTACTCCCCTGCTGCCCTCTAGCAGCCAAGCTCAGATGAGCTCTGTTGTTACCCTAGGTGTGCCTGTCTCTGGTAGGGAAGGAGAAAGTTAAGAATAGCCATTAATGAAGAAGGATTCTTGGAGAGAGGTGCTGCTGTGGTTTTTCCTGCTGCTTAAGATGTTGAGACAGGATAACTTAGAAAGATGCCTGCACAAACCCATAAACAGTGCTTTTATACAATTTAGTTCACCAGTACCCGAGTTCAGCATTTGACATTAGCTTTTTGTCTAATGAGTTTAAGCCTGCTGGAGGTCTTTGCTCAAATAACAAATACCGCCTACTTCCAAATGTGTTCAGGTAGAGGCAGTAGGTAGTTTGTTTACTCCATGTTAGGTACATTACATGCATTGGCTAATCAAATCCTTATCAGTTACCTATGTAATAATCTCAATTGCCTCCTAGTTTTATAAGTGGAAATAATCCTGTTTATTTAAACATGTTTTCATGTACCTATAGGGATTAGGAAATTCAAAGAGCCTTTTTTCTACCTTTCCCTAGTTTGAGCTCCCTGTTCTCATTAACAGATAAAACAACATATTTACTTCAGCCTGGAATCTTTTATTTTTGGTGCTTCAGTGCAGAGACAGGAAACAGGCCCTTAGTCACACTGGTAGTTGCCCACTGTACCTACAGAGGGCATATCTCATCTGTGTTCTGCTGGGTTATAGGACTTCACCTGAGAATTCTGTTGATTACCGTTCACTTAGTTTCTTTACTTTCTACAGTTGATTTTGCTAGAGAGGCAGTTCGTAAGGTGAGGTCCTGTTCATAGTATGACTTGCTTTCTCACTGTCCCCTTCCATTTTTAGTAACTCTGGTCTATTTGATGTCTTAAACAAAAGAACCTGGTAATGGAGACTTTTAATATGGTAATGTGGTCTGGTAATAAGTTACTCCTTTCCAGATGTAAGTGACCCAGTCTGGTTTCCGGATAAGAAGTGTGCAAGCCTCAGATGTTGAGAAGCTGTATTTCAACTATGAAAAAAATCTGCTTCCTGAGTCTGTTGAAATATAATTGTTCATACTTGCCATCCCTTATCTTTCTTGTAACAATTTGCACAGTTCTTGCCAGAATAAATGCCATTATCTGTATGCTTCAGGGAATTCCCCAATTTGATCAGTGAGGTGGGTGTGTATGTGTGACTCAGTAAAACACTTATAAAGGGTGAAAGCTCTTGTATGGCATAGATGTGAATTCCTTCCTCTGGAAATAATTAGGTTATTCCCGGAAACGCAATGTCATTCTTTAAATAAAAGCTTTCCTGTTTAAAGCTTTTCAAAGGAGCAGACCACCTTGAAGATTCCCCTTAGGGTTGATATGTGTCTAATTCATTTTATAAAATTATTCTTGTCTTCATTTTAAAGCTTTGGCTGTATAGTCAGAAATGTTCTAAATAACAAACTATTTTGTATTTAATTTAGAGAAGAGTAAAGGGAAGAAAAATGAAAACTCCGTTTTTATGTAAGCTCCAAGGATATTAGGGCTTAGAGGGCTTTTCTAGTTTTATGAGAATTTGTACTACTGATTTTTATATATTCTTGTTTTTGAGATGAGCAGATCTCTGGGGAAATTGTTGAGTTACAATGGCATTTCACTGTGATCCCTCTCAAGCTCAGATCAGTTCTGTAACCCAGTGATGACCTGTCTCTTTGGTTTACTGTCCTGTGAAATGTCTGCTCAAGTTTCCCAGAAGTCGTGTGTTTATGATGAGTCAGAGTGCTTTTCCTTGGTGGGACAGTTGTTGGCCCTCTTAATTTTGGTGTATGTGCTTCAAAGTATCTAAATCTCCAGTCTGATCTGTATATGCTATCCTAACTGTTAATTTTATTATTGATTATTTTGATTACCTTGCTTGAAGGTTCATACTTCTCAATTGGATAGAAATAAAGATTTTTTTCTGCTTATAACTCGTGAATTCATTTAATGTTTGTATAGCTTTTTATACTTTCATTTCATTTCACAAATACTTTCATTTATGCCATCTGCAACCACTACATTACCAACAGTGTCTCCAATTTGCAGATAAGAAAAATAACCTGGTGTTACCTGGATAAGGTGACAGTTGATGGCAAAGCAAGAACCTGAACCAAGAATTATCATCCTCACTCCTGTTTTCTGTTCTGCTACACCATGTTGCCTTATTCATATACCCTTACTTTATTTGTCCAGCACTTTGTTTATAATTTTAACGTACATTCTTTGTTTTTTGCCCCTAACCACCAGACAACCAGGGATCTATTTCTTTTCTTCTTGAAACAGTTAGATGACGTGAGCAGATTCTCTCCCTGTTTTACACATTAGGAAAGTAGATCAGATTATATGACTCTAAGGTTGTAGCATCTGGGATTACTCAGCAGAAGCAGAAACTGTAGCACGTTTGTCACATGGGAGCTAGGATCACCAAGAAAGTAGAGCTGCTGCAGGAGAAGCCCCTGAGCTGTGAGGGATGGGGAAAAATACCCTGGCTTTTCTCAGCCTCACACTCTTCTGTCCCTGGGGTGGCTTCCCTTAGCTGAACCCATGCAGAAACCAGCTGACATAGGAGCCTGAGAAATATGTTCTAAAGGCTTGTCCATGCTGCTGAAAAGGCAGAGGAAAGGGTAACTGAATAGGATGGCAATGTGGTAGACTGTATTAAATTTAATGACGTTCAGTCCCCCTGTTTTTTTATTTTTATTTTATTTTATTTTTTGAGACAGTCTCACTCTGTCACACAGGCTGAAGTGCAGTGGCATGATCTTGGCTCACTGTAACCTCCACCTCCTGGGTTCAAGCAATTCTCCTGCCTCTGCCTCCTAAGTAGCTGGGGTTACAGGTGACCACCACCACGCCCGGCTAGTTTTTGTAGTTTTAATAGATGAGGTTTTGCTATGTTGGCCAGGCTGGTCTTGAGCTCCTGACCTGAGGTGATCCCCCTGCCTTGGCTTCCCAAAGTATTGGGATTGCAGATGTGAGCCATCGCAGCTGCCTCCCCCTGCCCATTTTGTTTTTGGGTTTTTGGTTTGTTGTTTTTTTTTTGTTTTTTTTTTTTTTTTTTTTTTTTTTTTTGAGACGGAGTTTCGCTCTTGTTACCCAGGCTGGAGTGCAATGGCGCGATCTCGGCTCACCGCAACCTCCGCCTCCTGGGCTCAGGCAATTCTCCTGCCTCAGCCTCCTAAGTAGCTGGGATTACAGGCACGCGCCACCACGCCCAGCTAGTTTTTTTGTATTGTTAGTAGAGACGGGGTTTCACATGTTGACCAGGATGGTCTCGATCTCTTGACCTCATGATCCACCCGCCTCGGCCTCCCAAAGTGCTGGGATTACAGGCTTGAGCCACCGTGCCCGGCCTGTTTTTTTTTTTTTTAAGACAGGGTTTTGTTTTGTCACCCAGGCTGGAGTGCAGCCTCAGCCTCCTGGGTTCATGTGATCTTGGGCCTCAGCCTCCTTAGTAGCTGAGACTATAGGTACATGCTACAATGGGCTAATTTTTTTTTTCTTGTCTTTTTGTAGAGACAGGGTCTCACTGTGTTACCCAGGCTGGGCTTAAACTCCTGGGCCCAAGCAGTCCTTCCATCTTAACCTCCCAAAGTGCTGGGATTACAGGATTAAGTCATTGTGCCTAGCCACTTTTCCTTCTTTTGGGATGATATGACACCTTGGTCCCATTGGCTTCACGTTTGGACATAGGGTTTGCTTTGACCAATGAAATGTGGGCAGCAATGATGTGTGCCACTTCTGAGCAGAAGTTTTAGGAGCAGCTGGGCGCGGTGGCTCAAGCCTGTAATCCCAGCACTTTGGGAGGCTGAGGCAGGTGGATCACGAGGTCAAGAGATCAAGACCATCCTGGTCAACATGGTGAAACCCCATCTCTACTAACAATACAAAAAATTAGCTGGGCATGGTGGCGCGTGCCTGTAGTCCCAGCTACTCAGGAGGCTGAGGCAGGAGAATTGCCTGAACCCAGGAGGCGGAGGTTGCGGTGAGCCGAGATCGCGCCATTGCACTCCAGCCTGGGTAACAAGAGTGAAACTCCGCCTCAACAACAACAAAAAAAAGTTTTAGGATCTAGGGCATGGACACCGTTCTTTTTCCCTTTGCAGTGAGAGCAGCAACCTCACCGAGCTCTTTCAATCTGAATCCTAAAGTGAAGACTTGGACCAGAGATGCAGCCAATTCATCGTAGTTGAGTAGTGCACATTAAAAATAAACTGTTGCTTTATAAGCCACTGAGATTTGGATAGAGTTTATTTTCTAGTCATCCTAGCTGACTGATAAAACTGGGCCTAAGACGAATATGTCTTGTCATCCAGTTATAACTTTGATTATTCCATTATGCATTGTTAGACTCTCGGGATACAAAGGTGAATCAGACCCAGTTTTTGCCTGAGACTTCTTCACAATGTACTGGAGGAGATGGACATATGATCAGATTACCCCATACATAACTGCTGAAGTTAATCACCGCACTGTGAAGGAAAAAACAGAGGTAGCAACTCTCTGGGCTGGCCAAGCAGAGCCCATGGAAGGGCTTGTATTTGAACTGAGCGATGCTTGCAAACGAGAACCCAAGCAGAGGAAATGGTAGGCACAAGAAAGTGAGCATGTGTGGCAGGTGGAGGCCACAGCAGTGTGAGGCAGGACTGAGGAGATAAAATAATGATATGATTGAATTTTCTTTCTTTCTTTGTGGCAGTCTAGCTCTGTCAGCCTGGAGTGCAGTGGCGCAATCTCGGCTTACTGCAACTTTGCCTCCCAGGTTCAAGTGATTCTCCTGCCTCAGCCTCCAGGTAGCTGGGATCACAGGTGCCTGCCACCACTCCTAGCTAATTTTGCATTTTTAGTAGAGATGGGGTTTCACCATATTGGCCAGGCTGGTCTTGAACTCCTGAATTCAGGTGATCCACCTGCCTTGGCCTCCCTTAGTTCTGGGATTATAGGCGAGAGCCAGCGCATCTGGCCAATAAGATTGAATTCTATTGGGAAGGTCTTCACTTGGTTGGTGGTAGGCAGTATAGACTATTTGCCAGAAAATGACACCATCAGATTTGCATGATAACGTTGTAACTGTACCCTGGTCTGAACTAAGGTGTGGTGGCAAAAAAGGATGGTTAGATAATAACAAAAGAGAAAAAACTTAAATTACTCTAGGAAACAAAAATGAGTGACATAGTGGTGCGTGTGAGGCAGTGAGGAGTGGCAGGCCGTGAGGACTGGAGGGCACGTCCTATCAAAGGGAAGCCACTGTTCAGTTCCGGACAGTTGTTAACCATCTTAGGAATGGTGACTCAATGCTGCCACACTTATTTAATTTGTCAAAAGAAGCCAAACATTTGTGTTTCATGTGAAATCTTATTTTCAAATATTTGCAATTTTAATTTTAACAAATTAGAAGAGGGCTTCCCAGCCTTAACAACAACTAAATGCAGAGTTATGGAGAATTCTGTTTTATCAGACAGCATTACCCATTTAAATCACTTGCGTTTCTCCCCCACTCATATTTCAACTGGTGTGATGTTTTCCCATATTAATTTCAGCCAGTGAATATGTGCATATATGGTGATTCTCTCTCTCTCTCTCTCTGTGTGTGTGTGTGTGTGTGTGTGTGTGTGTGTGTACATAAACACATATTGATTGAAGATAATGGTTACAATTTACTGAGGGTTTACTCTGGTGCCAGGCCATAGGCCAAGCATTCATTGTACGCCGGTTACACTGATGAACTGAGTCTCAGAGAAATGTTATTTGCTCAAGGCTCACTCAGTAAGTGGTATAGAATGATAATTTCAGTATGCTTGTGAGGTCAGCTATTCTTCCTCATTCTGACTCCCATTACCCAAACACCAAGGGACCACAATTAAGGAAACTTTTGCCTTGCTCAGGACCATAAAGAGTTGGAGCCAGGGAACCCTACTGTTTGAAAGTGACCAGGAGCCGAGCAGTGCTGAGTCTGTCCTGTTGCCAGTTTTTCTCCTGCCATGATCCTGCTGTCAGTCCCTTTAACAAGCCTAGAAAGCCTCCCATGAAGAAATTATACTCATATCCCATTGGTAGTTGACACTCTGCATCCCTGCCAATCTAGGGTCATATAACCTGAGAGAGGGATGCCATTTCCTGACAAGGAGGAATCAAATACAAAAATGAATAGTCCATAACCAGACCAGTCAGGACAGACCAGCCCCTCTACAAAGTAGTGGTTCACATACAGTGACCCCTCCAGATCCACTGACTGTGTCAACCATCCTGTGGACACTGATCATCTCAGACAAGCTACTCTGCACACATTGAACACCATGACATCCTGACTATTCTGGATACATTGATCATATACACCCACCACAATATGAAAGCCTTCTATTAGTCCAACAGGGTCAGGGAGAAAGGAGCCAGGCTAAAATTGCTTAGAGACCTGGATGTACCATCTTTTATATTTTATTTTTATTAAAAAACTTTGGTATGTCTCCTCAGTATGAAGCTAATTTAAAAGAGGTGAATTATTTAGGATACACATGAAAGTCTTACTTAAAAATTTACAGATATTGCATTTATAAGTTAAGGCTAGTTAGTGAGGACTCTTTGAAGATAATGACAGATGCCTAGATCTGAATCTTTCCACACATCTTCTAAAAACCATACAGGCTGGGCACAGTGGCTCACACCTGTAATCCCAGTACTTTGGGAGGCCGAGACAGGAGAATCACTTGTGTCCAGTAGTTCAAGGCTGCAGTGAGCCAAGATCATGCTACTGTACTCTAGTCTGGGCAGCAGAGCAAGATCCTGTTATTCATAAATAAATACATACATACATACACACACACATACATACAGCTCAACAAAGCAAATAAAATTACAACTCATATCTACTACATACCAGGAAATTTAATACTACAAACTCCTATTTTATTTAATGCAGGAAAGAGAGAGAGAGAG